AAAAAAAAAAAAAGAAGAAAAAAAAAAAACTTGTTATTTGTTACGTTGAAATACAGTAATGTTGATTTTTACTATTTTGATGAAATTAACAAAAGAAAAAAAAGAAAATGAAAAAGAAAAGAAACAAATATCCTCTTGAAGCTTTGTTTTTCTTCTAACTAAATTGCATACGTGCATTTTCTATATACAAACACGTATTTACTTATGCACGACCTACGTATCCTATATATATATGTATATATGTGTGTATATGTGCATACGTGCATGCATGCACGTATTCAGGTTCTTTCTCCGTCGTTTTTCTCGTTGTAGCTATTTCTGAAACTGAAAGGAAGGGCTTCCTATTACTCCGGGGAAAACTAAAAGACTGATCGAGCTGTTTCTTTACTGTATAAATTATTATTATTATTATTATTATTATTATTATTATTATTATACTTATTCTTTTTTATGGGATATATTTTCTTATTTTCTTTCGTCAATTTTACAAACATCCTAGGATTTAAAAAATAAATAATAATAAAAATATAAAGAAACCAAAATAATAGAGAAAGAAAGAGATACATATACACATACACACATACACAGATAACACACACTTTTCTTCAACTATCATCATAGGTAGGTACATTTTAATTTGGTCTTGGTTTTTTTTCTTTTCTTTTATTTTTTTTTTAAATAATTTAATCTTCTTAGATTGCATCTAATTAATTTTGTTATGGTCTCTCTTTTTTTTTTTTTTTTGGTCTTTGAGTTCATGAGTGTATTTCTTTGTGGGTGTATGTGTGTCTATGTGTGGGTTATTATCAGACTGTAAAACGTTTAACGTGTCGGTTCATCCGCACGGTATTCTTTTTTTTTAATTAATTAACAAAGTGTTTCATTTAGTTTAAAATTTGACCATTCTATTATTAAACATTTTAAGAGAAATTTTTATTATCATAGTAATATTACTAGATAGATCTGATAAAAGATTGAATTATTTGTAATATTAATTAATAAAAAAAAAAAAAAAAAGAAACGAGAAGGGATATCGAATCATCGTACACAACATTCATCCCTTTGTGTTAAAATAATTGTATAAATTTTTTATTGTCTTTCTTTCTATTCTTTTTTTTTTTTTTTTTGTTTAATATTATGGTTATAATAATTTTTCGAAAAGTACCCTTTTTTTTTTTTTTTTTTTAAATGATAGATCAAAGTATAAACAATTATAGAATATTTTTATCAAATAATATATAATGAGATTTTTTCTGGGATTTTTAAATTGTTTCCAAATTTCCAAATATTAGAAATATTTGGAAGAAAAAAAAAAAAAAGAGAAAAATATTTAAATAAATATAAATTTATTTTTTTTTTAATTTTATATTTTATAATTTTATGTTTAATTTTTAAAATTAATTAATTTAAAAAAAAAATTTTAATTTAATTAAAATTAATTACTTTTTTTTTACATTTAATTTAATTTAATTTATATTTTATATTTTATAATTTAATTTTTAATTTAATTAAATTTCAATTTGATATTTTTACAATTTTAAATTTAAATATATAAATACTATTTACAAATAAATAAAATTTACTTTTTTTTTTTTTTTTTTTAAACCAAAAATAATAAATTAAAGTATAACAATTATATAATATTTTTCAAAAATAATATACAATCAGATCTATAGGGTTTCTAAATTATTTCAATACTGTAATATTTCACTAACTAATATTTCAATATTATAAATAATAATAATAAAAAAAGAATATTAATAAACTATAATAATTAAATAAAAAAAAAAAATTAAAATAAAATAAAAACATTAACAATATTGAGAGAGATAACAACAATAACATTATTTTCATCCTAATCTTGTTTTATCATGTATATATTTATATATAAAGTTTGAAACTTAATGGTGGTAGTTGTAGTAGTGGGGGATGATTACCACCCATCCAATCCTTCCTTTCATATCTTTATCATTTCTATCGTCTTTCCTTATCACAAAACAAAAAATAAATCAAAGAATAATAAAAAAAAAAAAAAAAAAAAAAAAATTAAGAATGAGAAGATTAGAGAAATTTTTGTTCAAAATCAATGGTGGTACACGTTCTCAATCATTGTTATTGGCTGTTCATTTCGCGAAATATATATATATAGACACCCCTTTAAATTACAAAATACAAAACTATATCATTTCAAATATACACATACATAATCATCAATATAATTCATATTATAGCATTGAATAATTTATAATTATCATTGACGAATAATAATATGCAATTAATTTAGTTTAGTTGTACGTATGTTGTTGTTGTTGTTGCGTAAATAAGTATGCGTATTTAAATATGAAGTATGTATATATATATATGTGTATTTTATTCTATATTTTCTGATAAACATCCATACATACATACATATATATATATACATGCATACACACATACATACATTAATAGAACACGCATATGGGGATGGGGGTAAAGTTTTTACTTTTTTCTAATGGTGTTATGGAACAGCTAATAAGAGAAACGATCGTGAACGTGTGTGTCGGTGTTTTATATATATATATATGTTTCTATACATAGTTGGTAATATGTGTATATATATACACATATATTTATGGTACAAATTTTCCACGTAAAATACCCTAAAAGAGAGACCATCGTGTTCAGATTCATGCAATCAATTCGTGTTGGGAGTTAAATTCATAAATAAAATTAAAATAAATCAAATAAAAGCGAATCCTTTTCTCGAGACGCGATAGGATAAAAATAATATTATAAGAGTGGGGATGAAGGGAGGAGTGGAGGGGGACGTATAACGATCGCGTATCATATATACCTATATATATATATATATGCCTATGATTAATTTTTTGGTTATTTTTGTCTTTCCTTTTTTTCTTTCTTTCTTTCGTTTATGGAGGGTAGAGGTTAAGAGTAATTTGAAAAAGTGTCCAACTGTATGTATGCTATAAATAACAGTTCAAAAACCTTCCAGAATGGCGCTGGTGTAGACAAAGGGTATGATATGAATGTAGCAATTGTAAACGAATTGAAGTATGCCGAGTTAAAAAATGTAATATTATTGGGCAACTAAAGTAGTTAATTATTAAAAATTTCAACTACTTGCGTAGTACAAAATAATGTAGTAAATATAACCTTAAAAAGAATTATTATGATAAAACGTATCACTAGAGTGATTTGATTTCGTGAATTGTGAATAATACGTTTATTGATTTTTTAATCATTTTAATTTTATGAAAAAGTAATGTGAATAATAACAGAACAGAATTATGGGTAAAATTTGTCTTGTGAAATTTGTGTTCTATGTTTATTTCTCAATTTTACTCTAATAATATTTGGCGCTTTCTTTAAAATATACACTGAAGCTACTGTGGCGCCACCCTAATTTAATGCATTTCGACGGACACTTTTCATATACACAGATGATACTCCTTACCCCTACCCTCCATACTTTCGTTATAGCAAAAAAAAAAAGATATGCCATATCAATATATATATATATATATTACTGATACCGTTCTATTTTTTTACTTATAAAATGTTTATAAGTGTTTTTTTTTTTTTCCTATTACACTGATCACGTTCATTTATATTTCTTGTTGTCCTTGAATATTTCTTAAGAACAATTGTCGGGTTTTTCTGTTTGTTAAAAAAAAGAAAAAACAAAAACAAAAAGTTAACCTCTATATCATAACACGATATAGTATTTATATATGTATATTATGTATATTATGTATAGAGGTGGTTTGTATATATATGTGTGTGTGTGTGTATTATATTTACGTAGGCTTATTTATATACTGGTACTTCGGCGGGCCGATTGCTCCTATAAAGAAGATGATTCCAGGTGTTACGCCACCACTTCCATAGTCAGGTACGCCTGCTTTGTCCACCTGCCGTAACACCTTGCGTACCAGGACTACCACCGTTTGATAGTAATAATCTTCTATTGAATTCTCTCATTTCGTAATTATTGTTGCCATTGCTCTTTTCCCGCGTACCACCGCCGCAATTGTGATTGGCTGAAGTTGGTGTAGTCTCTTCCAATATCAATGCACAATGACTATTCGTGTCACTGTCTGCTCCGCCATCTTGAAGATTGTTCGCTAACAAAGGATGTCGTCCTGTATTGCATTCCTCGGTTTGCAATAACAACGATGCATTACCTGTTAAAATATAAACACAAATTTTTCTTTATTATTCGAATTATTCAAGTGAAAACTTTTTTTTTTTTATTTTTTTTTTTATAGTAGTTTGTTTAGTTTTATTTTATTAATTTGCGTTAGTATTACAGTTGTTAGTCTTGGGTAAGGAAAATTCGGGGGAGGGGGGGGACTATAAGGGGTTTTAGTTGTAAATAATTTTTAATATTATTTATATATATGTTTCAATAATAATTATTATTATTGAATACATCGATATGATTTATAAACGTGTATATATATATATATATATATTTAATAGATAATTAATAAGTTAATATTCCGTACGTTTTATTTATAAATATTGTTGACACGTGTAACATTATATCTAGCAGATTTGTTTTACATTCGATAGCTCGTTAATTAGATATAAGTTATTTAATATACTATATCATATGTATATCTGATTTAATTGCAGTATATACATGTATATTATCTTAGTATGATTTTCATTTCGTTAGGTTTTAATAATTTTTTGTTGAATAAAATAAATAGCAAAAAATGTAATCCAAAAATTCGTGAGTTTATGGTGCATTGAAACATTTACTTTGAAATTGCATTAAAGATTTTTCTGTATTTTTGAAAAAAATTTACTTTGAAAATATTAATAAAAAAAAAAAAAAATTACTATATATATTATTATAAATAATATAAATTAAAAAAAGAAATCCAAAAACTCGTACGTTTATTGTGTGTTGAAACTTTATTTTGAAATTGCATAATGGCTGTTATTTTTATTTTTTGAAACAATTTACTTTAAAAATATTAATAAAAAAACCAAAATTATTATATATATATATATATTATATTATATATTATAATATATTATCTATATTATTATTATATATTATTTCTATAATTATAGGTAAACAAATTCGTGTAGTTGAAAATACTAAAACAATGGTTTAGCATAGTCGTAGTTGTAGGTTAATAAAAAAATATTTAATAGAGTCAGAATATTAAAAACCAGCATGAGCCAAGATCGGTTATTGGTCAGATATGTTTTTTTTTTTTGGTTATGTTTGACTCTTGATTTCATAGCATAAACGAGATTTTCCGTCGTTGTACATACGGATCGTGCCGAGGTCGACTCTTTGCGGCGAATTGGAGTGGCACGAGAGATAAATACCAAATACATATATACATACATACATACATATATATATANATATATATATATATATATATATATATATATATATATATATATACATATATACATACATATGTATATGTATATATATACGTAATTTTTCTTCGTAGTGTTGTGGTCGTTATTTGTAGTTCCGAACATATAACAGGGACAACATAGTTGTGTATTTGTGTATTTGTGTAGTTATTGTGTTGGTCGTGTAAGTTGTGTAAATGTATTGGTAACTCTCTCTCTCTCTCTCTCTATCTTTCTCTCTCTTTTCGAGAGTGTGAGTAGATGCATGGTGCATGTACAAGTGCATCGTGTCGAGAGAGATCGATCGTACCCTCTCGGAAGCTTGCAAGCTTTTCTCTCTTTTCGGCTTTTTTTTGTCTCTCACTTTCTCTCTCACTCTCTCTCTCTTTTTCTCCAAGTTTTTGTTTCTTTGTCTCTTTTTTGTTTGTATTTTTTGTCACCTTTCCTTTTGTCTTCTTGTTTTTGTTTTGATTTTTTATGAGTTAAAAGTTATTGTCCTATGAAAATGTTTCGATTAGCTTATTGAAAGCTTAATCTGTCAATAATTAGCCTAATTATTGTACTAATACTTTGTTATATTTATTTTTTTTTTTTGAAAATAAAATAATATTTGTTTATGTAGGGTAATTAATAAAACATTAGATTTAGGTTAGGTTGGAAAATTTTCTAATTTTGATCAAAGTTCTTTTATTCTCTTTTATACACATTTATTTTATATAATAATAATAATAATAATTTTATTATTATATATAATAAATGTAAAAAAAAAAAATAATAAAAAATAAACAATAAAATTTTATAAAATAATAATAATAAAACATTAATCTCTCTTTCTCTCTCTTATGTGGATAATAAACTTAACATTTGAAATACTTTGTTATATTTTTGTAGAAATAAAATATTTGGTTATTTTTGTAGAATAATTGATAAAATATTAGTTTTAGGTTAGGTTAAAAAATTAGGTTTTGTTTTGATCAAAACCTATAATTTTGTTTTACATTTATTATATGTAATAATAATAGTAATAATAATAATAATAATAGAACATTAATCTCTCTTTCTCTTATGTGAATAATTAACCTAACTTTTGAAATATTTTGTTATATTAATTAAAAAAAAAAACTATTTGTTTATGTAGAATAATTGATAAAACATTAAATTTAGGTTAGGTTAGAAAATGTTCTTTTTTTTTTTATCAAACCTTATTAACCTTACTTAATCCTAATAATTAACCCTTAAATAATAAATTATAGAACATTGGTTTTTATTTTGCTTATAATTTCACTATCATCACCATTACCATCACCATCTTCATTGTCATCGTCATCGTCATCGTCATCGTCATCGTCATCGTCATCGTCATCGTCATCGTCATCGTCATCGTCATTCGTGTCAGGATAATTATGAAAAAATGTATTCTTTCGAAATTATGCACTTATGAATATATTTTACAATTCAATGTTGGCTCGTCGGATAGATTTTAATTAAAAGGCGTGAAAGTAAAGCTTGTTACAAGCACTTTACATATATCCCTACATTTACAAACTTCCTTTCTTCTTGGTTTATGATGAAAGACCAATCGATAGCTTGGAAAGACATAGTTTTCAAGATTCTACCGACAAAACGAGACACCGATTCTTCCTACGATAAGGTCGTAGGGTAAGAGTTTTCAATGCAAATGGAATTTTATAAACTAGGACAGTTCGTGTGATCGTTTTCCACCATTCCTCCTAACCCCCTAACCCCCTAACCCTTTAACCATCTTCTCATCTTTCTCTCTCTCTCTTTCTCTCTCTTTTTCTCTTTTTTTTTTTATTTTGCTCATTTAACGGGAAATATTATTGTCAGTTAAAATGTTAAACTTTCATTCATTAAAACACAATATATATATATATATATATATATATATATATATATTGAATTAATTGTAGATAAAAAAAAAATTCATTTTGAACAATCTTAGTAAGTTGTTTTCAATTTTAAACAACATAAAAATTCTATTACCATTGGAGTTACTTTAAAATTTATATATATATATGTATATTTATTATAGTTAATTAGATTATTTTATTTAATTTTATATTTTATATTTTAATTATATTTTAATATTTTAAATTATTATATTTAATTTTATATTTCAATTATTTTATAATGTTTTAAATTATCTAATTAAATTATTATATTTAATTTTATATTTTATATTTTGATTATATTTAAATATTTCAAATTATTATATTAATTATTATATATTAATTATTTTAATATTTTAAATTATTTAATTAAATTATTATATTTTAATTTAATATTTTAATTATTTTTTAATACTGATACTGATACCGATACTGATAAACTTAATTCCATGTCTACCCTCGCGTGTTTCAACATAACCTCCTTGCTACATACAGTGTCACATATTCCTTCATTATTTTTTAATATTTTAAATTATTATTATATTAATTTGAATATTTTTATTATATATTTTTATTAAAAGTATATTTGATGTCAAATCAACGTAAAAGTTTCTTCACATTTGAGATAATTTTCTTTATGAAATAAAACACACCGGTTAAAAGAATGATTTAAAAAGTTAAGATTAAGAAAAAGAAGAAAAAGAAGAAGAAGAAGGAAAAGAAGAAGAAGAAGAAATATAATAAAAGAAAAGAAATAAAATTTCTTAGATAGGTATACTCAGCAGACTAACAAATTCTACGACCTTATCCAAGGAACCTGGCCATGATCCAAAAGAGATAGTAACACCCAGGTCTTGAAAGGCTACCGGAAGATGTGACGCCTAGAACTATCACACTAATATATACACACACACACACCCACACATATACTAGACGAACACACTGTATAATATTATTCTTTGTAAATATTATTTCTTTCTTTTTTCTTTTTTTTTTTAGTGTGTAAATTAAACCCACTTTCGATAGGATTCCGATCGAGAAATGGAAAGGATATTGAGGTCAAGACCTCGGCATTTTTCTATTTTCTTTATTTTTTTTTTAGTTTTTTTATTTTTATATTTTATTTTTTTTTTCTATTTCTATCCAATTCACACACAGTAGTAAAAAGTTTCTTTTTAATCAAAGTAATTCTTTTTATTTTTTATTTTTGTTTGCAAACTAATATTCGCTCTTACTCCATTTTGGTTATATATATATATATAGATGATAGAACTAAATAATAAAAAATAATAAAATAAATAATAGAATAATATTATTTATCAAATACAAAATATTATTATATAAATTATATAATATAATTTTATATAATTTATATAATTAAAATTATAATATTTTTATTTAATAATTATTATTTATAAATATTATTTATAAAATAAATATTCTATATAAATAATACTAATACATATAACACATAATATATAATATATTGTTTTTTTAAATTTGAAAATAAATTTTATTTAAAAAAAAATAATAAAATTCATAAAATAAACTATTATTTATTTAATATAATTTTATATAATTTATATAATTAAAATTATAATATTTTTATTTAATAATTATTATTTACAAATATTATATAATTTAATATAATATTATAAATATATTATTTATAAAATAAATATTATATATAAATAATAATATTTATAATATATAATATATTATATATTTTTTTTCTTAATTTGAAAATAAATTATTAAATAAAATATCAATCTTGATATTATCGGTACCAAGAACGTATATATGTACCTCTTGTAATTACAGCACATAAATATACATACATATATATATATATGTATACTTTAGGATACTATTTGCGTTTTTCCTTT